ATGCGCTGTGTGAGCTGGCAACCTGTAGAGCAGGCCCTGACTGTTGAGCAAAGGAAGAAGGATGGGCAGGATGTGCCGTTGGTCCAGGCTGTGCGCATGTTGACTGGCTGTCTCTGTTGATTTAAGTCGACCAGTTGTTCATGGACGAGGCCTGGTTCTCTCATGGGAGCCAGTCTGTTGCTGTCCATTTTATGCCTCTAGTTTAAATACCATGGCACTAATGTTGTCTAAATACCTTTCTTAGAGTTTTCAGTTTGTTCTATAACATTCTCCTTAAAATGGATACAAAAACTCCAGATTATTGTCAAAACAAATCATATAATGACGCGACTTTTATTGTTAAAATCGCCCAGTCAGTCCAGATCAAAATCCAATGGTATAGCTATGGCAAGACTTTAAACTTAATGTTTATAAATATATCAGCTGCAAATCTTCTTGCAAAGAAGAGTAGGTTTTCAAATGTCAAAATTTAGAACAGATTCACCTCTGGAGTAAAAACAAAATGTTCCTTTTCCGGGTATTTACTGATAGGACATGCCAACTTTATTAAGTTGTAACCCCAACCACGCTAAGTTGGAGAGAATAAGACACTCATACCCCCAGATTTAGTCCGGCTCCCCTCATCTTCTATTGGAACAGTGTGATTGTAAAAATTTACTGTATTGTTGCTGTGTCATCAAAAATGGAATCCAATTGGGAAAAATTGCCAGTTTGCCATCCACTTGCTGGTCATGCTGTAAATGATCTCATTTATTATAATCGGTCCTATTTGCTGCATCTTCCGTACACTGTGTTAATTAGGGATATCCCTACCAAACCACCCCTGTGTCATAATCCACCATCATACACTAAAGATGCCTAATGGATTATTCTAAATGGTGATTGTTTGAATATCTGGCAAAATGCTAATTTAATGCAATTCTGCCAACGAAAAAAGATGGATGTCCATCTTTTTTTTTTTTGAAGACTGGGCACATAACACAACATGGTTTTAAAATATTTTACTGCACAAGCTTCTGTTTTACCAGCAAAGGAATATCTGTGTTTAAAATAGAGACTCTGGCCAAAGTATCCTGTTTGAAGGATAACAATTTGAGATATTTAAAGTGCTCTAACGTTATCAAAAGGTAAATATTAAGTGGCTGTTCTTTTAGAACAAATGGTACCAAAGTGGTTGATACCAGTTACAAGTTTTAATAATCCTGGAAAAAGACAAAAAATTTAATTCTGTTATTTTGTACATTTCACAAAATATCTTGTATTACAAAATTAAACAATAGAGTTCATGATAATTATTTATCAAACAGAATTTCTCAGGTTCTGCATCATGTGCTTGTCTTGAGCATATGCATTGCACTGTGTCTGCCATAAAGATGCAAAATGAATTTGTCATGCAAGTTTAAATCATGTTAACCATATAATTTAAGTGAATTAGGAGTTTGGCTTGTAGCGATGGTGTCTCCACCCCACCACTACAAGACAGTCCATCAGCTTTTTTTAATCTGCATCTTTGGGATAGATTTGGAAGATTTTGGCTGTGAATACAGATGAAGAGTGGCTAACCCCTCCTTCCTACAGCATAAAGCGTGGTTCGCCATGATTGCTGCCCCACGACTTCCTTGCTGGCTTGCACTGTTGGGAACTGTCAAAAACTTGTAGATGCAGATTTCTATGGCTTTGCAATGAAAGAAAACCAGCTGGCGTGTAGCATCTTATTGCATCACATAAAAAAGAAATATTTGCAAGAGCTGTAGATGGAGAAACCTTTATGTTGCAGCTATAAGAGAGAAGGAGGAGATTATGAGTTATAAATTGATCCAATAAAACACAGTAACTGGTGAAATTATTGCATTTTTTTTTAACGAAGTCACCCATTTCTATAACATCGACTGTCTAAAAGGGACACCAATTTGGCAATCTTTACCAACATGTTTGAGGACAGCTTTCCATTGAAGTGCAAAGTGTGCAGTGACATGTGTTCTGAAGGCGGGTGGATGTGAGAAGTGCGTGTATATTAGTGTGGGTTTGTTTCACATGTGTTCAATTTTCTTTAGCAGGCTCTGTACCAGTCGGTGTTCTGTCTGTGGGGTTGTTTGCTCTTACGGTGCGCCTGTTACCTATCTCGTTTCTTATCCATCAAGCCACCTGCTCTCTACCATGTTTTTGTCACCCGGAAGGGGAAAAGGCAGTTTACCTTGAAGCACAGAGGAGGGTGATGGGGATCATGGCTAGAGATGGTGCGATAGGACAAGGACAGGAAATGTGGATTTTGTGATAAAGCGGTTGCAATATATGGGAGACAGACAGGCCGGCAGATAGGGAAATGGATCGCTGGCAGGGAGGGATGTAATGGAGGGATGGAAAGTGTGAAGAGGAGGAGGAGTATGAGAAGGAGGGTACCCTGGCCAGAGCAAGGGGGAGGGATGAGAAAGGGAGGGGAGGGTTGGAGGAAATGGATAGAAATAGCTGATGCACTCTGAGTCTTACAGAAAATCAATAGCAGTCAAGAGCAGAAGCCACAACCCCCTCTCCGTTCTCCCTGGCTGTTCTCTCACCCTCCACATCTCTTCCTCCAGTCGTTTTCCTCAGCTTTGTTCCTCCACTACTCGCCCTTTCCTGTCAAACTTTCCTCCTCAGAGCTCTCACACTTTTTATGTGCCTCTACATCCATGTCCTCTTCTCCTTTAGCTCTGCTTTGCCCTCATCCTGTCACCAGCTTTTTCCTTCCTCCACAGAGGAAAGTAGGAGACGGCTATTGGTAAGGTGCAGCTAGAAAGAAAAATCACTTGCTAGCAAAATTCCCTGACAAGTTTTTAATTTGTGACTTAAAATTAGGAGGGGAAATAAGCTGTTGTTTAAATATCAGGCATTCTCAAGCATCACCATGTTAATATTACTGGTCCTCATTGCTCTTTAGGAAAACATTTTTTGTTTTGTATTTTATACTAAACTTGAAAATGTAGAAAACCTGTCTAGCTAAAGTTTCGCTAATAATGAGATAAGTATTGATTACGGTAATGTTAAATGACTTTGAGCTGTGGTGACTATTTGTTCTATAGTTTTCACTTTCATTAGTCCTCTGAACAATTGATTTACTAAATTTGTAGGTTGTAATCCAACCTTGGAACTTTGTAATAAGGTTCCTGTACAGTGTTATAAAGTGCGTTTCATTTATATTAATTCCCAAGCCTGTACAAGTTAGTAACAAGTAAAGTAACAGTTTTCAGACAAAAAAACCCCAATAACATAGCTAAAACAAACAACTGAAAAATCTGTATATATGAAAAAATTAAAAAAAGCTTCTTGCATCGAATTATATTTATGTATATTTACCTTGCTTTCTTATTTAGAGGTTAGATACTGGATAAAAAAAACAAAAAACTTAAATAATAGATCTAGATTAAAAACAAGCCTTTTATTTTAAATTGCACCAAGTAACCCAATTTACTTTGCACATGTTTTGTTAGTTGATTCAAAACATACATGATAATAACATAGATATCAGTGCATGGACGGGAATGAATTCTTTATTTAATTTACTTTCTCTTATGGAATCATTTTTTTAGATGTAGGGAAATAATCGAAAATCTTCCCTCCTATATTACAGTTGATACTGCAGTTCTATTATTCACTTCTCCTTGAGGCTCAGACAGCAGAGCAAAATAGTGTGCTCTCTTGTTAGTCCAATAGTGGCCATGATGTCACTCAAACATGTTCTGTTACCTCAGTGTTTTGCTCTATAGAGTGAGTCTAACTGAATGACTCGCCTCTGACTCAATTTACAGGGTTTGGACAATGTGTGAGTGAGACCATATTCAGAGAGGAAGCTGCTTTCTGGCCTATTGTGATCAGTGAAAGAGGGGGGGGGCATAGAGTAGAGCTATGCTGCCAGTGAGTTCTATGAATATTTCACCAGCGCTCTGTCCCAAATTACCTCAATGAAATTTCCCCCTTTTTCTTTTTTTTTTTGCAGCACTCATAAAAGCTTCACTTTTGTTTTATTTGCTTCTTGTCCCAATTAAAGAATGAGAAGTGTTGTTTATTTTTCTTCTTATTGCTCATGAAAAACCTTTATTCTTTTATTTCCTCTGTATTTGCTGCTTTGTAACTCAGAGCTTTTCATCAAAAAGAGGGACTAGAATCAGGAAAAATATTGCTCCAACAACCTGACAGGTGTAAACCTCTTCTAAAGGGCTGTATAGCATCTACTCCTTTCAGGTTTCCTCTCGTCACTTCTGTTGTATAGGTCTCTGCGCTTGGTGTGCCCTTGGGAGCGATTACCCTTGGAGTGTGTACTGGTGCCACCATCTGTGATCAGGACATACTCAACCACACACTCGTCCACCACTAAAGGAAAAACAAAAGTCACAGCAAATAGACAAAGACAATAAAAAGATGAAAGGATTGTGGTAAAACAAAAGAGTAAAAGTCTTAGCAATGATGCAAGCGGCGGTATCATCTGAAAGCTCCCCTAATCCTGGATTACTGTGTTTGTTCAGTGTGTGTGTGTGTGTGTGTGTACAGACTGAGCCAAGAGGGCACCATATGTGTTATAGTGACTTTTTCTGTTGCGTATCTGGTCAGCAGCCTTTCTCACAAACATGTTGTTATTGTTTTTAGGTTATGTACGATATTCAGGTGGCATTAGGGAAAATAACAACAAAAGGATTTAGCGCAGCGTAGACAACAGATCCTAGTATTGAATAACTGGGTGTGCTGATCTATCTGGTCCAACAAAATCTTCTCCCACCACACTTTAATATATAGCCCTTCAGTGTAATACCATATTATGGCTCATCCTTAAATGTTTATGATCCTACAGAGATTTAAAAAGGGCCTTAAACACAGATCTGACATTCAGTGTTTGAAGGGTAATAATTATGATCCTCGTAGTGAAACTCTGAAGCGCTTTTGAGCAGTGGATGAAGTACTGTATATTTTAACATGTGTGAGGCTCCATTTAACAGACACATGACCTGTTTTTGTTTTGTCCTGTGCAGGAGCCTCTGGTGGAGCCTATCACTGCCATCCTGACCATGCATATGGAGAGGAGAGTGATAAGGTAAGGACCCCGAGTGTTCATCAACTACTTGAAATAAGACTAAGGGGAAACAAAGGTCCACTGTAACCCTAACCCTTTCTAAACCTAACCTTTAAAAATAGCTCTACTCTACCACCAACCTTGCTTAGTTTTGGCTACGTCTCTCATGTGGCTCTGGATCAGAGTTTAGTGCAATTGCGGAACATTTTATTGGATGTATTAGATATCTATTGGGGTGTATATTGATAATGATTTACTGTCTGTTCCTACAATTCTACTATAAAAGCCTCCCTATATTATCTAAAGGCCTTTTTGCATATTTCATCTGTTATTTTGATTATTTATCTTTAGAAAGGAGTTCAAAGTCTTTCAATTTTCAGCTCCTTTCACAGTTTCTCCGTCATTTTCATGTCAGAACTTCAGCTGAGCCAATCTAAAACTTGCATAAGCAAGTCTGAATTAACATGTCGGTAAAGTACAAAGACTGCCATATAACTAAATACTACAGGGATGCATATATATCTCTGGGCTTAACTGCTTATTTGCAATGGATTACCAATTGTACTGTCTATGGTGTCTGCCTATAAGCCAAAAGAAGATTGGGCGAAGTATACCATGGAAAGTAGATGCATGAGATCTGAAGCACAAATCCTGTACAGAAACTCTGGATGGTTCTGGTCCATAACTGACCAGAACCACCAATCTAAACAAATAGATTCTCAGCGTTACTGAACACTGGACAATTTTCACTGAGAAGGAACAAATAAATGGTTTTCAGCTGTGGGCATTTTCTTAACTAGAACCGGGTACCATGAATAAAATCTAATGTAAATGACAATATAGAGTGGAGTTGGATAGAAAAAGGAGAGATTATTTTTAAAAGTCTCACATGCTGCTAATAACTTTATATATTTGGTATTTTGATTTGCTGTGAAGATCTGAACTATTTAATGTTGATGGAGCAGGTATTTTATTAATTAGAGCTTGTTGAAGTAATAAAACCTGGTTAAGTGAATAATGTCTCAGTAGTTGTATATTAGACAAGATAATACTGGAATTAGTGTTAATATAAACAGTTCACAGCATGTACCTTTTTGTTGTTGGTTTTTTCACTACGGAGAAGTTCAACCAAACTTTAGCAAGACTTCCAGCTTTTGTGCCTGACCTGATCCAGTGCCCCCCCACCCCTGATCCAGTACCCCCCAACACCCCAAAAAAATAAAATAAATTAGGTTGCCTTAAGTGTCTTTATGAAAACAAGTAAAGAAGTTAGTAAATTTCCCGTTGGTTCTAAATCTTATTCAAAGTTGATCAAAGAAACATTTAATATGCTATATATAATATATGCATTATAATGCTTATTATATATATTTTAGGGTGGTTAATTGTATTGTGAGAAATGTATAGGATTATCAGCCTGAGATGCAATGATGGTATTTAAAGTGAAAGGTATTTAGAAAAGGAGGCTTAAGTTATGATGAATAAATGAGTAACCCTAAATATATTGACATATTAATAGTTTATCCAAAGAATCCCAGTTACCCATGATGATTACAAGAGCAAAGTATAGGAAAGAGTACACCTCTCTGTAATATAGTAAACAAAAAAAAATAATAAACAAACCTTTGACATGCAATTATAGTAGCTGGTGTAGCTGGGACGTCATTCTTTTGAAATCAAACTATTATTGCAATAGATAATAGATCATGTTTATAATGCTAACAAGTACATGGAGGCTCTATCTGCCTATAAAATCACAGCAGCTAAGTTAAGTCACTCTTCTTAAGAAGTGCAGATTTTATTTTACTACTGATTTTGAAAAATTCTAGCAAAGCTTGTTTGACCTGAAGGTTGTTTTTTTTTTTTATTCCTGAAACATTCTGCTACGTTTGCTTGAAGGAGTCAAAGCAGAACTCAGTAAATGACTGTCATTTATCACAAATGAACCTTTTTAAAGCATACATAAAGAAGAGAAAGTAGACTAAGAAGAGAGGCTGCAAAAAGTGCTGCAAAAAGCTTGGAGGGAGGAATGGGGAGTGGTATTGCTAATGATCCCAGCCTCCAGCTGTGGAGCTGGTTGGAGTGAGAGAAGTAATAGCAGGAGGAGGAATGGAGGGACAGTGTTGGACGAGCCAAAAATGAGCTTTGAAATCATTTTGATTAGTGTTAGTGGAAGCAAGTCGGTCAATATTAATGAATCTCAAACAGAATAGGACCATTTTTGCTCTGCATAGTCATGAGAGAAGAAATGTCCTCCTTGAAGGGAAAAACATGGACCCTGGTGCTTTTTATTCTGCATGCTCTTGGCAGGCCCGTCCTTCCTTTGCTTCTAAGCAGTGACAGCAAAGCCACAACAGCTGTAAGCTAAAGTCGGTCTCTGCGACTGTAGATGCAAGCATATACACAAAGTGTGGATGATGTGAAATACAACGTGGAAGGGTGTGTCAGGATAGCTTTCCCGTCTGGTTTTTACATGCACAGAATGCAGAGACTGTGGACAGGAATAAATGAATGTGTTCGCAGTCTCCAACACATGCTTTGATATCAGTCGCAGAGCATTTATATTTGTCCTGGTTACACTGTGTCTCTGCTTCTCTGGGGCTACCTCCACTATTTAGTTTTTCACATCATATTTCATTAGCTTTATGAAAATATGTTCAAACATTCCCCAAACAAGCTCACATTTGGAACATCAGGCCAAGTAATAGCATATTGCTTGAGGACAAGCACACTCCTTTGTCTGACGATGCTCCCCTCTCTCTAATGGGGGTAGACAGGCCCATCAAACTTTTATATTAATGGGCAATAGTCTGTATGTTAGAAGAGGGAATGTATGAATCTGCCCTTCTTCTCGACCTCTCTTGTCCCCTCAGATTTTAAGTCCCGGTGTGGGACGGGTCAGTTGAACATTCTCAGAGGAAAAAGAAACAAGAAAGGGGAGCAAAAGGATAAGGGAGGGGGGTAAAGATGGGTTTAGCTTATCTGATAGAAAGCAAAGGGGGGTGGTGGGGATGGGAGGAGCTTGTTGAGCCGGGTGGGGAGAGTAGAGAGGTGGAAGAGTATGGCTTAGATATGAAAATGGGCACAGTATATGTCCCAAGGGTTTTAGGGTTGGGGGTAAGGTTGGTAAAGAGGTTGTGGGGCGTTTGGCTGAATAAGAGAACAATACAGGATGATGGTATTCCATGCTCTGATCGATTAGATGGTTGTTCTGGACAGAATGTAATGAAATCAACCTAAAAATGTAGATGTCCTTTCTTTATAGTCCTAATTAGTTTAAATTTTTTTTAACTTTTACCATGTTTACTAAAGTAAAAATTGTTAGGAACTCGTATAAAAAGATTTTGAATATGTTAACTTCTCCCAACTTCACACCTTTTGACGCATGAATGGTGTTAAATCTGAACATGGTTTATTCCTGCACTGCTGTATCCAACACAACGTTTCTCTGCTTCACCCATCTCTTTCTCCTTTGCTAAATCAACCCACTCCTTGTTTTATTATTTTGTCTTTTTTAATAGTTTTGTTACAAAGCTCTAAACCCCTTGGAGAATGATAGGAGAAATGCTGCAGTATGTTTTTCAAAATTGTTAATAATATTAAAGATTTTAATATTGTTATTAATAATGATCACTATTCTGGTCTTGTTTTGCTCCTGGTTTAGTGAATCCTGGGTAGATTCAAACTTGTGTTTTTGGAATCTGTGAGATCTCTGCAGACAGGACCGGTTGAACAGCTGAGAGAAAGTTTTGCAGTGATGCCATTTTTTTATTTTTATTTTTCCAGCTAATTTACTTTCTGATTTAACTCCTTGTGTTTTTAAACTGTGCTTGGTGAGCCTAGAAATGGTTTACATTAGCTTTTAGCCAGGATTCCTCCCCGGTACCACGGCTTAGACTTAAGTTATCTGTGTCTCATAACCTCTTGAAATGTCTCCTTGGAGTTTTTATCAGGACTTCTTGGTTCAGCCACTTTAGCGACATCAGAAGATCTTCTGATGTCACTAAAGTCTTGATTCCACACAATTTTAGGGCCAAGCATATTCTCCCTAGGTGGTTTGTACAAATGTGAATCTTTTAACCACTGGCGACGGGATTTCTTGTTCTTTAGCTGGTAGGGCTCTTTGCATCGACGTTCAGCTCTTCTAAGAGGTTGGTGATCAAAACGTTCCTGCTCCCAGTTAACCTTATTATGTCATGCTCTAACTGCACAAGGAATCCCAGTCTTCCTCAAAGCCATAACAATTAATTAGTTGTTACAAAAACTTGTTAAATTAGCCACTACAGTGAAATGCAGGTCAGCTAACCAGTGAATGGACGTCACTCGCAAATAAAAACTGACCATGTCTTGATTTCATTATAAATTAGGTGGTTAGTGGCGTTTCTGGCTGATGTTGGGGGTTAAATAGAGAGATGCAGTGTGGGACAGGTCCTGACTGCAGAGAACTTTATAGTGAATAGAGAGGATCATATGTGACCTGTACAAGTTAAAAGGCCACAAAGGAGCAACTATCCTCTGTTGACCCGAACATCCTGGTCAGAACCTGGTCAAGTTCTTAACTCTTCTGCTTCCTGCCCTTTGGCTCAAACTGAAGGTAATTGTTTTAATATCTCCAACTTGCAATGCCACAACTAAACCATTAGAGTTAACTCTTCATGGCTGCAAAGTTCAAACGTTTTTTTTTTTGCTTCTGTGGATCTTCAGAAGGTCGTGTTTATTGGATGTAGAAACGGTGGCAGCTGCTCATGTGTGAATTTGCACATGTCTGCACAGTCTGCTCTCCAGCTGTTTCCTGTTAGCTATCGTACAGCTTTCAAGGCTGCTGAGCTCTACATGTGTTTATACTGGTGCAAAAAAAAAAGTTAATCTTTTTTTCTTTCTCCAAAACTCCTTAGTAGGCCTTTCATACTGTACAGTGGAGGTTGGTATACGCAGGCGTCAACATGATGGACTATAGAAATCATGTGCGAGAACGTGGCTGTTCTGAGTACAGCAAGGTTCATCGTAAGAGGGAATGACTAACAGCTGAAACATGGGCATGTCTGTGTGTGTTCTTGCCTCACTATGTGCCAAGTGTGAGAGTCATTGCCTGACTGTGACGTTACTCACAGATGAGTCGAAATGGATTGAAAAGCTACAACTCTTTAGTCACTGCAGACTGAATGACTACATATGTAGATATTTCTTTCTCGGTTTGCGTACATGACTGCCTGTTTTATGACTTTACGAGAAGGTACATGTCGGGTTATCCAGCTGAAGGTGTGGTCTTGCGATTTGCACATGGGCTTGTAAGCGCTTGTCCCCTGTTTGTGTTCCTCAGTCTAAGAGGAAGTGACTTTGAACCCTCGGGGCCTCTGTGTGCTCGTGGTGTAAAAGCTTCCCCTTCATAGATCCATACAGCCTTGTAACCCCATACAAATGCATGCTTTGGACCACACAGGAAATGGTCCATACAGGAAAATCACAAAAGATTTTGGTGTGTGTGTAACATTATGGATGTAACTCCTGTAAGCCTATATAGAATGGTTAAACGGATGTATGTGATATGAGTTGTCTGGGTCACTAAACGCTTTACTTGTCTCTTCTCACCCCTCCCATGTGTAGAGTGAGGAAAGCCCCAGTCCAAAGCGCCAGAGGCTGTCCAGTCAGTCCGTTTTAGAACAGCTGACCTCATCTGTGCCCCTGCCATCTACGCCTTCTCCCCCCATCCGCCCGTGGGAGTCAGGACCTCCAAGTCGGAGGCAGCCTCACCCTCACACACACTACCACCAGGAGAGGTGCCTCACTCCTCCACGGCTCAGGCGCAGGTAGTTTCTGTTTGTAACACCTTTCCATGACAGCTGCGGAAGTGCCGCTCTCCCCTCAGAGGTTCAGATCTTCCAGAAGTTTTAGGACAAAACTCATTATGTGTGTGGATAAATAACCTTTTTCCACCTCCAATAGTCCAATCTCCTTGTATTTATGCTTTGTAGCTTTTTTTTATTTATTTATTTTTTTTTTTTATTACAAAAGTTAATAAAAGTCGGTGGGTCAACCATTCTTTTTCAGTGCAATTCCTAGATAACTGTACTATGGCTAAGCTGAGTGTACACTTGACTTTTTTAAAAATTTTTTTATGTTGATTTGGGTTCCTTGTAGCGCCCGCACTTGTATCAGTGAGCCTGGCCTTACACTAAACATACCACTAAAATGCACCGTGCTATGGTGACACATGGTGGTGGCAACACTATGGTATGGTATTCCACTTCCAACAGGTACAATAACCTAAACAATTGAATGATTGTATTAAAGTCAGTAATACTGCAGAATCAAGTGGAGATGAGCTTAATCTAGAAGTAGGTAGTGATATTATTCCTTTTAAGTATTTACTGCTGCAATGAAAGTTGGTTAAGCAACTTACTAAGTTGGTGAAGCATAATATGAGAGCCACACTTTAAAAACCTGTTTGTCCCTTTTCCATTGTTTAGTTGTGTTCTATTTTGTGTAAATCTGTGTAAATATCTTTGCCAGTTGCAATACAGAACTGTCTCCTTTGCCTCCTGCAGCCCACCAGCAAGGCGTCAACGTGGCCGTCTCACCAGACCCTCCCGCCACTTGCCTCTTCATCACCACCCCTCTGCTCAAGGGCCTACCCCTCGCCTGTCACCATCTGAGCTCCGGGATGAAAACTACCACAACCCGCTTCCCTCCACGCATCAGACGTACCCTGCACACACTCCAAGCACTTATTCTCTGCCTCCAACAGCCGCCGGAGGAGGCAGAGGTTCAGAGGAGCCCCGAGCCTTCCACCCCCCCACATTACCGTCACAGCTGTTGCACCATGCTGCCCACCACCATGCCCATCATCATCAGCAACAACATCACGCAACACAACAGCATCAAGGCGCCATGGTCTTGGACTTGCATGATCGGGTTAGTTTGCATCAGTCACTGTTTGATATTTTTGTTTTTCCGCTTGTGTGCTTTTTTATACAACTTTTTTTTCTTCTTCCCTCAGCTGCAGCAAGGCAACGTACCAGTCTCCTACACAGTGACCCCTGTGCCTCCCCATGGCCTGGCAGCACCATTGTGTAGCAGTCAGCACATCCCCCCTTCCTGCTCCTCTCAGCAGCAGGTCCCAGCCTGCAGTGTGGTCTTCAGCACTGGACAACACTACCATCCGGTGAGAGAGAAACCTCAGTCTGCAGCTTAGCTAGGAGCATGGGGCCATTGCTATAAAGTTACAGTTTCCAGTTGAAAGGGGGAAGTTGATTTGCAAAGTCACAGCTGCCATCTTGTGGCAAATTTTCTCATTGCTATTTATCTAAAAAAAATTCAACTTTGCCTGATTTCTTTTTTTCTCTTTGCATTATTTTTCCCCCCAGATGTTACAGGCATGTTCAATGCATCACTTGCCGGTTTCCTATGCTTTCCCCTCACTGCTGTCTAGTGACCATCAGTTCCTGATCTCTCCTCCACCTCATCTCCCCCATCACCCGCCCCACCTGCCCACACAGTTCTTGCCTTTCCAGACTCAACAGCCGCGGTCGGTATGTGAACACTTTTTGGTGCTGATGCCTACTCCTTACATTTAATTACTGTCGTTTTAGAGCTGTGCTAAAAAGCTTTTCAAAGATCTTGTTATTCATGAGGGGGAGGTAAATGAAACGGAGATGTTGTAACATGAATTAGATAAGGTAGGATTTAGAATGAAAATGAAGTAGACGTAGGGTTTATAAAACTGAAATAAAGACACTTAACTCTGCCAGGCTAATTCACATGGTAGAGGTTGAAGCAATTGTTTTTGTCATGTATTGTACTTAATTCCTTGCCGTATCTCCTGAATCATTAAGATTATAGTTCTAGTAAAGATAATACAGCATGAGATATGTCTGATATAAATCCAGAAGAATTATATATGTGGTTTGTGCCAAAAAAAATAGAAAAGTTATTTAGTTATAGTTGTATGGTCTCAAAAAACGACTTTGAAAATAGCTGTTTTCTTTACCTTTATGCCTTTTTTTCTTTTTCTTTTTTCCTTATCAGCCCTTACAGAGAATCGAAAACGAGGTTGACATTGTGGGAGATCAGCTTCCCGTAGGAGGAAACTTCAGCTATGCCCACCATCACCACCACCAGCCTCCTTCCACTCTGCCTCCTTCTACGCCACTCCAGTTCCTTTCCCACCATGACCCCCTGTCACAAGAGCTTTTCACAGTGGTAGGACCTTCTTTTGTTTTAAATGCACATTTGTTTGAAATGGAGCAGGTGGTATAAACATTTTTTTCTTGTCTTTACAGCCATATCCCCATTTTATGCCTCGGCGATTTGCAAGTCGTCGTTACCGCTCACAGCAGGCTGTGCCGCCGTCTCCCTACCACCCAAGTTTCCTACCCTATTTCCTGTAAGTGCCTCCTCCAGTTTGTAAACGCTTCTTTGCCAAGAAGGAAGAAGGTAATGTTAATTTTAAATCTTGTTTTAACTTTCAGGTCAATGCTTCCTGTTCCGCCAAATGTGACTCCTGCCATCAGCCTAGAGTTGGATGTGGATGATGGAGAGGTGGAAAATTATGAGGTAGCACAACCTTCTGCAAAGGAGTTCAGCTCCTATTATTCTTAATGTAGATTACACTTTAGATAGGCATAGTCACATTATTACAAAAAAAATGATCAGGTAAAATGCACCAAATGTCCACCCTAATAATGATTGGATAGTCCCTTTGAGCCTAAATAAAGCTCTGACATAAAGCTCCAGAACCAGGGTCCGCCATCTGCTGGCCGTACAGCAGATTCACTCTTATCCCTCTTTAAATAAAAAAATATTTTTGGATTTTTTCCCCGCACTAAATCTTGGAGTTTCTGTGATTATTTTCCCAAGTCCACTGGGAGGTGCTAGCATACTTAGAATATTATTCACTTTTAACCCTCTCTGCACATGTGCATTTATTGTACCTCTATTGTTATTGTAAAAATCACAAAGGCATTTATTTACTAACAAATTAAGCAAAAACGGTGCATAAAACAGAAAACTGGTATAACAGCCAGATGAGGAAATTATTAAGAAAAAGGTTGAATGTAACTGGGGTGAGCTACTGATACTGCAAATAAATAAACTACGAAAACTGTAAACGTTCTGAAACCCTCAGTTGATTTAAATGGAGATTAAAAATCTATGTTTACAGTAGTATCTCAATGTTAGGTTTGCAGTCCAACTCTACTTTCATTGTTCTATTAATCCTTTTATTGTATATCTTTATATTCATCTAATGATTTTAATTCATTTGTATTGTCTTTAATAGTTTTAATAACCTTTATGCCCGTACAACATAATCTTGGTATTTTTGTTTTTTGTTTTTTTGGTGTTCAGCATTTTGAATTGCCTTGCTAATGAAATATGGTATAAAAATACAATTGCCTTACAAGACAAATTCCCAATTTCTAAAAAACTTTCAGGCCCTGTTGAACCTGGCCGAGCGTCTGGGGGAGGCTAAACCCAGGGGTCTAACCAAAGCAGATATCGAACAGCTTCCTTCATACAGGTTTAACCCCAACAACCATCAGTCTGAGCAAACACTGTGAGTGGCTTCACACTTTGTCTGAGAAAAGTGCGGCTATTAGAGAACATCCATTTATACTGTTTTTTTCTTCAAGTTTACATGTTGAAGGTTAATCTTTTCTGTTGTTGCTGTAGATGCGTCGTATGCATGTGTGACTTTGAGTCCCGTCAGCTCCTCCGAGTCCTCCCCTGTAATCATGAGTTCCACGCCAAGTGTGTTGACAAGTGGCTTAAGGTGAGTCCGATTGAACTTTGCATTAGTGATAAGATGGCACATTGGCTTTTAATGAAACTTTCCTAATGCCATTGATTGAATGATCAGTGTAATTCCTCATTCTTTGAATATCCTTGTTTTGTTCCAGGCGAACCGTACCTGTCCTATCTGTCGAGCCGATGCTTCAGAGGTCCAGCGGGACTCAGAGTGACCGCTAGTCAACAATTTCCCATTCCGTTCAATATGTGAACTCATTCATTTTGGCACATGACTGGGATCACTGCACAGAAATAAATACCTATTTAAATGTCATCATGAATATTTCTTAATTGAAGTGACCATAAGAACAGAAGACCGGTGTGATTGTTTTAAGAGGTTTTGCTGAAAGTTGACTTTCTAAAGATTACGACATTTCTACCATCATAGTCCAGCAGTTGTAACTTGTTGTTTAGAAGCCATTTTTTCTGCTCTTTTTAATTGGTCTGAGTTGAAATCTAATTTTATTTCTCTTTATTCTTGATTTCTTGAGTCAAATCCACCTGTTTGGTGGTTAACATAGTTATTAGTTTTCCACCAGAACGAGTCAATGTGATTCTGTTGGTCAAAGTTTCTCATTGGATAATACTTAACCTACAGATTTTGAAATGGTTTCATCAGATTGATTTTTGACTCAGGGCATCAAGAATATCTACGCAGCTTTTAGGACATTTCTAAAGTGATTATCTAACCTCAGAAAATTCAGATTCCCTTCACATCACATCTTCAAGCTAGGGCTGGGGGATAAGCTGGATTTTAAATGTAACCGTCATTCACTACGATAACCGGTGATAATTTTCCTATGTTGGTAAAAGAAATAACCTAATCCTGTGTGCGCTGGTGGCTGGTATTTCCTTCCCCTTTAAGACACTGCAGTATGTTTGTGGTCGCGTGACTCCGCCGATCCAGTCAGAACAGACAAAGAGAATAGTGGATGAGACCAGTGAAGAAGCGTCTTAACACAGCTGTAAACAAAACCACATCAGTTAATCCTGTGTAGCCAAACGAGAGCATAGATTAAGCTGAGTGCAGAGAAAAGGTCGAGAGCGCGTTGTCAGAGTTGAGCGTGCAACAGACCGGTTTTGAGCGAGGGTATGCAAGTTTAAACGATGCACATTGTTCTCACTGCACGCTCAGTTCGGTGGCATCAAAATCACGCCATAGATGTTGAGCAAAAGAACACAAAATGCAAAGTTTGTCTGAAAGCTGTCGGGACTACACAGAGTAACACATCCAAACTCCACCACCTACAGCACAGCCACGCTGTTCAGTTTAAAGATGTGCAAAATGCTCCATTACTTTTGCGCAAAAATAAATAAATAATAAGTAGATCAGTTGCATTTCCTGCACATGCCTTTATTTCTGATAGAGGAGCCTAGAGGATTATCGTGCATTTATCTTTATCGAGGTAAAACTGCCCAATTTGAGGTCATATCTCCCAGCCCTACTTGAAGCAGACATCGACATGGCCGCCTTTCTCATTTGATGCTAAGCTATTTCTTCACTTTCCTCAATATTAGGAAGTTTTTGCACTTGGAGCAAGCCTGTGGAATACAACAGAATTTTAAATCAGGCGGAATCATCTATCTCTTCTAAATTCTTAATTTCTCAAAGATCTTTATGATTGGAACAAATTTAAATACGTTATTGTCTGACGATTGCCTTTTGTGTAGTTGGCAACCCAGTTAATTTTTGCACCTCTTACCAGCAACAACTTTCACACTTTTTACGTCTTAACTATCTACTGTATTTCAGATTATGGGTCGCAGCCCTTTACAGAAATTTAAGGCTTTTATTACTTTCTTCACATTCTGGTAAAAAAAAAGTTTTGTCTAGTCACCTATTGCAACACAGACTGATATTGCAAGATCAGTTTTTGTATTTCTTCTAATACACATCTTTCCGGTCAATGTTGTTTTTAAACATGGTCTGTCAGAGATGCACGAAATGGGACTTGAAATTCCTAAATGAGGGACAGAGAGATCCTGCTCCACCCCTCGTTATCACTAACATCTTTATTAAGGCTTTCTATGCTCATTGGCTTAACTGCTGATTTAAAATCATTTGGCTTGATTTAATTTTTAGGGTGAATATCCTTGTTTCCTGTTAGCCTATGTTGGCTCATGATAATGACCCAAACAGACATCTCATTAAAGCTAACACTGTTTGGTTCTACCTAATGCTTGTTTTGTTTGCAAAACATTACAACAAAGTGGATGGAGTGCTCTGAAAAGTCCATTGAGACACTTTTTAGTGGCTTACATCTGAAATGCCTTTTACACATCAGCATCTTGTCCAGGTCCGACTCTTATAACAGGATGGTTATTTTTCCAACCAGATTTTCGCTTTGCACCAACAGCAGACTGTATTCATGTTTGAGAGGAGGTTGCCTAAATACCTTCTATGCATCTCGAGCATAGAAAGGTATGGAAATCAGTGAAAACATTTTTTAAAATTTTTTATGTCCTATTAGTTATTGGATGCATCTGTTTTCTGATGTATGGTTGCATCGTTTTGTTTTCTGGTACACTAGCAATTACCTCAATCTAACTATTTATATCTTCTGAGAATATTTTGCAAAACGGTATGAACAATTCTCTCTTCCTGTCTTTTTTTTTATTTTTTATGCAGATTTCTGTTGTTCAACATGTTTCCCTTCAAACTCTTATCAAACTGTATTATTCAAGTGGTGTCATAGTAGTTTCATTATGTATTATATTGTAACCAAAATCATTTGAAGGCTTGTGAAATTTTTAACAAACATTTGTACATTTTGTATGAGAGTTACTTATGGTAATACGTTGAGTAGTGCAATGATTTTTTTTTTAATCCCCTACCCCATCTTTTGGGTCTCAAAAGCTGGTTCAATAATAAATGTATAACATTCTCTTATCAGTTTTGTCTTCAGATCCTGACACATTTTTGATTCAGCATCAGTAAAAGTTGTTAGATGTTTGATTTCAACACAGCTCTTCATGGCAACATATTTCAGTCTTAATTAAAGGTTACATCTAGGTATCTCTCAAAGGTAAAACATGGTGTAAAATCTAATTTATTTAGTAAATCATTTCAGTTAAAAAAAAGACTGTTTTAAGCTTGAAGATATAGTGGAGGTTGTTGTTTTTCCAGGTGGATCATCAAAATAAGTGGCCCTCCTAATTGTCAATCATTCTGGTGATATGTTTACGTAAGGCCGTCCTACGTGCTCGTCCCCATTTTCACTTACCGGTGGCGAGTCTGACATACCGGAAAAATTGCAAATCTTCAGCTCCTGGCACCTGCAAAGGGATACTTTTACAAGAGTCTAAAGACAATAGAATAACCAAGATTGATACAGGATAAGATGAATTAGAATAGCTCCAACAGTAAGCTTGTATGAGCGATGCAAACAACTTTCAAACAGCGTGCACGAGGAGGAAAGGGCTTGTGCATGCTCTCACATGCGTTTAATAGGTGTTCCCTCTCAGGAGCTTGTACATGGTTGTTCATGTGCGTTTCTTTAAAAGTGGATAGGGTGGGTCTTTTCAAAAATGCGCATAAAGCCTCTACTATACCTTTAAAGTAGAACAGATATGCACAAAAGTAAAAATGCAGGAGTGTTATTTATGTTTAAGAAAAATGAATTGATGTAGCAGGAGCTCCTTTAATTCATTGACAAAAAACAAATGAACATGAAAACAATCTAGAATAATAAAACAAAACTGTTGTGCAGCAGTGATAATGTGAAATAGAGAGAGCATTAGTAAAAGTTGGCTATAAATATCCAGCAGCCTAAACTTGCATCAACAAGAGTGTTTAAGATAAATTGCACTTGCAATTGAACTTAGAACTTTATCAAAAAGCTTTGTCTTAAAAGTTGTTGGTCTGCCTCAGGCAGCTTGGAGCAGACTTTATAGATGGCTATCTTCCTGGAGTGTAACTTGATTAAAAAAGCAGATTGCTCAGGATAACCTACCTTAGTAAAACTAAGCTTTGCCAAAAAGGAGAGCAGTCAGCCTATTACATAAGGTAAAGCAGATGAGGTGTTTGTCTCATAGGATAAACTGACAGCTGGCTAGAAGCCCCAAAAAGTTTCCCCCTACACACACCACTGTAATATTGTGTGTTACAACAGTTGTATACAATATTGCTATTTTCATAATGTATTATAATTGTGTTAATATTTTACAGGTTTACAGTGTTAAGTAGAAGATGAATTTAACTGCTGAAAGCAGAAAATCAAATCAAAGAGCTTATCTGAGTAATTTTGATATGACCAATGCAAAAGGTATTGAATGTGTGTTAATATTGAATCAGATCCACTAGAGACATTAAACCAGTAGGTCTGAGCACAAATAATGCTAAATGGCGCCATCTAGGGAACGGTTTGGGATACTGCTCGCACATTAAAGTTGAACATAAAGCATATTGCCAAACTTGACCAGTAACAGTATGTTTGTAGATGTAAATAATTCAAGTTACTTCTATGACCGTGTTGTAAAATATCTTAAGATAAGTTTTTCGGGGTTTTTTTCTCTATAGGTAGAATTCAATTTTGAACTTTAAAGTTTTACTGATACCGATTAACATTTAAAAACTTCTATAGCAGAGAAGATCTGTCTCTCATTTGTATTTGTTTTCAAATATGGATACTAAGGGCCTGATCTCCAGAGATTTCAAATAAGGGGTGCAAAAGTGTATATCAATCTTTATATTTATTTATTTATTTATTTTATAATAAAGTAAAAGTGTTACGGATGATCTGCAAGGATTGCTGTGCGAATGTTAAGACTTTCATACTAGTCTGGTTCTGATCCATTAAAATGAGTGAATTATGTGAGATACTGGCAGTTTGAGATAATAAGGAAATTCATTATTAATGAATGCCGCTCTTTGACGTGTCTGCAATTGCTTGGTCAACTGGGTTGCAGCAACCACACTTTTAGTCTTTCTGAAAAGGTTTTGACACTTATCCAGGAGTTTTAGTCATTTCTGGTGGCTTACACCCAGAACTCCTGCTTGGGTGACCACTTGGAATAGTGTTTATAATATTATGTCTGTGTTCATACTTGGTATAGTAATCGGGAATCAGTCTTTGACATAAAAGACCCAAGAGTGGCTCTGGTTTATCTAAAGTGAAACTAGATCTATGCAATTTCTTTTTCTGGCCTCAGTTTGAACCCAAGTGAAGCACACAAATTCACTGAAATTATTGTAAATATAGGCTAAGAAATCAGACGGGAGTGGAAATGAGATTATAGTGAAGTGTTTGGTTTATGTGCAAAAGCTATCCTGCAATAAGAAAACCTTGTTTCAAGAAGTATGTCTTGTGTCTAAAGCTGTTGGACATAATGTTACCAATGATGCTCCTCTGTCTTTGAAGACAGCGTTACTCTGGTTTGGGCAAACACTCGGGCTTTTATTAGTTTAAGTCTATATTGTCCAAAAATGATCTACCAAAATCCATCTAAAACAAAGTGAGATAGCATTCTAAAGATGTTTGTGTGTTTATTTTTAAAACATCTCCTATTGCATTACATAAATGTCCTGTAAGACTGAGTTATTTTTATTAGCATTTAATATTTCAACTAGTATTACATATATTTAAAATAGGGTGAAATTAATAAGGTGCGTTTAGTTTCTTCATTAAAATCAATCACCCATCATGGAAATAGCAGAAAAATAAAACTCTGAGGCTTTATTTTAAATACCCAGTTTTCTTGGAATTGTTCAGTGTGAAGTCATTTTAAATAAATGAACTTAATTTAATTCTGTTGTTCATTAGATATATATAACATAGACATGCCCCGCCCAACGCTCTGCTAAATCCAAATTACATAATAGTTGTCAAAATTATTTGAATAAAAAAAATATATATATTTGGCTACATGGGTTTATTTTTTACAAAAACCTTTTGCATACAGCCAATTTAATCATTCACATTTTCAACAGTTATATTGAACATTTAACGTGTCCCTTATGTTGCTGTGCACTATGTCATAACAAGGTCACTGACTCGATGTTTTTCTTACAGAGAGGAAGGCAGTTTTGCATTTCCTGCAAAAAGGGTGAAACAGTGGTGAAATAAAAAGTATTGAACAATTTTTTTTAAATACTTGCAATTTAAAACTATATGTCATCAAAACTGAAACTAATATTTAACATTCCACCCTCAATAAGAATAGAAGGGTGCGTTGGGTACTTCACAGGGAAATGTTTTCTTTCTGTGTTCTATAATTTGTTGATTCTTCCCTCTAAAGATTCAGCAATAGATAAGTTAGACGCATGGAGAGGAGATACTTTCGAAGATATTGATGAAGAAGACCGCAATGAGGAATGTTTAAAAGCACAAAACAAACTATTTAAGCTTGTGCAATGATAATGGCTTATGAGAAGCTATATAACACCAGATAGGCTTCATCGTATGTCCAGTGATATTCCAGATATTTGTTTATTTGAAAAATAAACTCTTCTTTATCGTTTGTGGGAATGTCTTAAAGTCCAGAAGTTTTGGAAAGATGTTATTAGGTGTCCATCTGAATTATTTAAGGTGGAAGTCCCATTAGAGGTTAAAACCTGTGTTCTCAGAATATACACAACAGAATTTAAACAATCACAGATGAAAACGAGATTGAACGACTACGGATTTCTTCAAGCCAGAGGATCTATTTGCATTATGCTCGAGGAGCTTGAAAGAAAGAAATTGCAAATTCACTCAAACTGGAAAAACTAACACACATTAACAAGGGTAAACAATGGAACTTTGAGAATCTAGAGGAGCCATATATGAGGATCATAGGGACTGAAGGTGGAGCTCATTAATGGATGTCTTGACT